TGTGCCGCCTCCAAATGACCGTCGCTTTTGTCGGGCCCCCTTTCCAGTCGCAAGTCCCCGCTGAGGGGACTTGCGTAGTGTATTGTTGCTTTCCTTCATATCTTCGTATAGTCTATGTTTTGTAATGTTATTTTCTCGTTTTCCTTGCTGTGACTTTATGGCTGGCGTGCGTCGATAGCACCTTTGTAATTGCTCAGTTCTCTGTTCTGTTCATTTATTGCATATATAAAAAACCAAGCCAATCTGCACATAGCACTACTGAATAAATACACACCAGAGATATCCCGCATGATAATGTGCCCGTCTCGTTTTTCTTCATGTTTAGTATAAGCGAAGTTATTTTTAAATTTCAGGTTTTGCTTTTTAAACTTTTGTTGACATTTTTTTTTTTTTTTTTTTACTTTCTTGCCCTGGGCTTCGCGTTATGTAGCGCCGGCCCTGCCAGTAGAGGTGTGCGGATAGTGGTTCGAATCCAATAGCGCCGTGTCATCTCTAGCGTCGACAGCGCAAAGAGAGCCGGTTGCATCGGCTTTCCTTTGCACCGCAAAGGCTTTGAATGACGTTGGGGTATACAGGGGGAACGGCGCACCCGCAAAACAGCACACAAAAGAAAGACACACTTGCGCAGCGGTGACTAACAACTTTTTGGTATATTTGCACTTTCGTCTTCGTCTTCTTTTCGTATTATGAACTAGGGCCATGAAAAATAATTTGGTATTTTTCTTCAATAGGATGCTAAACAGTAAACCAAAAACTAAATTTGAAATCAATGTTAAATTAAATAAAATTGGCGCTCAGTTTCGAGCGGCCGGCCGCGCCAGCCGCACAGAGATGGCCGAGCGCCTGGCGCGAGTTTATGATGATGATGATGATGTTGTAGCTTTGAATCGGGCGGTTCAGGACCATGCTCGTACCTAGCCAAAATGATGATGATGATAATGATGATCTTGCAGCTGTTCCCTTTTAATCGGGCGGTTCCGAACCATGTTCGTACCTAGCCAAAAAAAAAATATATATATATATATATATATATTAAACGAAAAAAGTACTTATTCCTTTTACTTTCTCCTTGCCCTTCGCGTTCACTTTGCTTTTTTCCTTCGCCACCAGTCTTCCAGTCTCCTTTCGTTTTTTCGGTTACTTCCCAGCTCCGTGCAAACGGCTTCGTGGACGCTGCGGCGCGCGTTTCAACCTCACTTTGAGGGACAACTGCAGCATCTGTCTAGAAACGCGTTCAGCACCGGCCCCGTCGCAGGTGACTGGAATCCGACTGCTTCCGCCAGAAATTGCTCGTGGAAGGGCCTGGCCAGGTGTCTGTACGTTTTCAGGAGCGTGGTACCACTGCACCGGATGCCTTGGGTGCAGGCTTGTGTATGAGAGGACGATGTGTTCGATGGTTTCATCCTCCTCTCCACAAGCCCGTCATGTTGTTGTTTCCACCATCCGATTATATTTCTGTTGGTAAACTAGCGTTCTCAGCCCTCCTGCACGTGCCCCAAAAAGCAAGCGGCTGCCCATGTATTGATCGTATAACTGAGCCTCCGCTGATACTGTATTTTTGCTGAGGTTGTACACCCGCAGCGTTGACTTGCTCTGGGCCGCCTCTGCCCACTGTAGGGCCTCCTCCTCACGTTCTCTCTTTCGCACCTCCGTTTTCCACTTTGTGTCTGTATAGGCACTCACGGGCACTGCGAAGAAACCAAAACTTTTTTTTCCAGTTGATATAGCCGCTTTTTCTATAGTATCGGATGCGAGCGCCACCGCGTGGCGTTTGGCTACAACACGATGGCAAGCAGGCCGCAATGGGAGAGCGAGACATCTGACAGGCATCTTAGCACAGGAGGCGTTGCCCAAACCGATCGCTCCGGTTGTTTCTCCCAGCGGTGGTCCCCCATTCCCTCGCTCAACGTTTCTTGTGGTACCCACGGTGGAAGAAACACATTTAAGTGATGGCCCTCTGTCCGATGCGGTGGCATCATTATGTTCGGCATACCGAACGCGTTTCACTCGCACGGGGATAGATGGCGCCCAAGTATGGGATCACTCCCATAGTTGGTGGTGATCGGTGGAATAAGATCCATCTCAGGGGGCATTAAGATTTCCTCGCTCCCAGGCTTGGGCACGAACTTAGTTCGCGCTCGCCTGTTTCAAAGGGAACAAGCCGCATCCTCATCATCATCATCATCATCAACTCCCAAACCGACCGCTCCGGTTGTTTCTCCCAGCGGTGGTCCCGCATTCCCTCGCTCACCGCTTCTTGTGTATCTGCTCGATCACGTTAAAAAAAAAAAAACCGAGCTAACGCTTTTACTGTACTGGCTACATTTATAATATTCAACGGGTAACAATGTCGCCGTATGATCGAAACTCCTGTCCTCTGATGAACTAACGAACTAACGACGCGCCGGACGGCTGACGGCGCGTCGAACAACGGGAGGCGAGTCGAGGTGAGTGAGTGGGGTACTGCTCGTGCAAGCAGCGTCTATGAGCAGTTCCATAACTGAGCTTATCTAATAACGTTGGCAGGGACCCAACGTGAACGTAGGCAACGCGGTTCTCGCAGGCGGTGCGGCGGTAGCAGCAGACGATGGACCGGCGACCCTCACTGCTCCCATAATGCCTCACGCGCGCCGCTTGAGGGCGCGCGCTGTTTTCCAGAAAGCTCCAAGCCAGGAAGCAAACATTGAAACAAATCGGCAGGAAAACAAAACAACAATATTAACCATGTGATTATGTTATAAGAGCAGAGTTACATTTCGAACGGAACTGAATTGGATGCATGAGATCACTATGGAGTATGCCATTTGTAACGCTCGGGATATGTGAACGGAGGCTCGAAGCCGGCTTCCTGCGGGCCGCACCCAAGCAAGTCGCGGGCCGCGTGTGGCCCGCGGACCGGGCGTTTGAGATCCCTGGCTTATAGTGTCCTGCGTCAGAACTTTTGCATAGTGTCATATCACTAGTTCTACAATTCTCATTAGTGTTCTGCCCTCTGTGAATGCGGTGCGCAAGTTCGTCTGCTTTTTTTTTGCAAGGGCTGTGATGACGTCAGAACGCCGAGCACTGATTGGTTCGGAATGAAGGATAGTGGCTAGACATCGAGGCACTTTACTTTGAGGTCCACCCATTATCCTTTAATGAAAGCCAATCAAAGCTCGGCGTCTTTCTGATGTCACCGCAACTCCTGCAAAAGAAGCAGACGACTTACTCTCCGCATAACCTAAACTTCATCTGCACTTTTATTTATGCCCGGTGTGTTTTTTTGGTTCGCAATTATTTTATAATGTCATAATTAACTAAATAGTGAATTTCATAATAAAATACTTTTATTAAACCACTTCAATCGTTTTTAACTCTAACTTGAATTTTTGGGAGCGAAGCTCCTTAGGGTCTAGCCTTGGCCGTTCGTCCGTCCGGCCGGGCGGCCGGCGTCCGTGCTCACATAAAAAGAAAAAGAAATGGTTGCGCAGTCGACAGGATTTGAACCTGTGAGGGGAGACCTTACTAGATTTCCAGTCCATCGCCTTAACCACTCGGCCACGACTGTGGGACAAGAAGGGGGCTCTGAGATGTGGTAGTAACTCAAGAGCTGGGGTTTCTGTCATGGATGAAACGTTGCATGTAGCCGCTCTATACAGGAGAGGGCGCTGCGGTCGAATGCGTATATAATCGCGTTAAACTTTGCATGCATTGACTCAACGTTTATAGACGAGAGGGCGCTGCGGTCAAATGCTCAAATGCGTATATAACCACGTGCCATACCATATATTCTCTTTCTGACATAGACCGTTGAGTTAAGCGGAGGAGATTCGTTCCCACGGCTTCTAGCGGATCCAAGCTGATCCGCTAGAAGAACCACTGGCTCTGCATTTCACCGACCACAAAGCAGTAATAATGAAGTCGAAACGCAACCCGGAACTCAGCACTACTTATGAGCAGTAAAAAAAAAAAAAAGTCAGCACTGTCAGCATTACCCATGAACAATAAAATCAGTATCATCAGCACCACCAGAGCTTCGCCCCAATCAACATCATTCACCACGTGGAGATGCGGTCATTTTTGTTTAAACCCCTCCATTTATTTCCCGACCTTCGAAAGTGCGACAGATTGAAAATCCGACCCATGAGCCAAAAGAATTTAGAAGACCCCTGTTTTATAACATGAGATATCAGCGAAATTTTTTAGAGCGCAGCTCTTAGGCGCCCGTCTCCGGCTTGAGCGGCGTCGCCGTCGCCGTCGCCGTCGGCGTAACCGCGCGGTGCATTATGGGTAAATTTCCCCGCAAAATCTAGCGGGAAAATAAACGTGGCCCTCAGTACCCTTCCCTCCTCCTCCTCAAGAGCTGCGCTCCAATTCGGCGTTACAGGGAGTGGTAAACGGCTTTCACTTTTTTCTCTTCAAGTTGGACCTAAAAGTAGAAAAAGAAAACACCGTCTGCGCTGTGATAATGAGCATGACGTTTGAACGTGCTTAGTGCCATTTCAATAACACTGAGCACAGTTAAAAAAAAAAAGACAGAGCATGAGTAATTTCTTTTTTTATAAAATAATATTTTCTGTCTTTGTCCGTTCGCCGAGTTTTCTTCTTATATTGTAGCGGTTGGCTCTCTCATTGCTGTGTAGAAAAATAAGCGCTCCAGATTTTTTATAGTTTGTCTTTGCAAGACGAAAAAAACTTTACCCACACCGCGCCGCTAGCCACAGATATGAATGCTATAGATACGGATAGAGGACAATGGACAAACAAGGAATAGAGCGGTAAGATAGAAGTTTATGGATGACATTCGAGACAGCAGACGTTTATCTCCAAGGCAAAAACAAATGGGTGGAGGGCAACACGAGTTCACGGATAACACGAGGCGACTCTAAGGAGTTTCAGAGAGATAAATAATCAGCGGCTGTCTCTCATGTCCTCACGAATCAGTCAGTTACAGCTAGGGACATAGAGGAAGAGTAGCACAAAGAAATTGTGCGTCGAACAGGAAGAAAAGGTCTCGCGACATGGCGTCCGGTTTCATGGAGTCCCTTGTCGAGGCGGCCGTGGAGAGCAGGAAGTCTGAACTGCACGCCCTGAGCGACTACCTCTGGCAGAACCCCGAGCTGGCTCTGGAAGAATTCAAGGCCCACGAGAGGCTCACGGAGTTCCTCGAAGCCCAGGGCTTCAGGATGCAGCGACACTGGCTTTTGGACACCGCTTTCCGCGCAGAGTTCAACACCGCAGGTGCTCAAGGTACGGCTAGATGCTCAAGGTTAAGTGGCGCAAGCTACCACCCAATATAAGCGATACAGCCACTAACATCCATCAATTCACTCATCTATATGAGAAATATAAGAATGTCGATAACCTCCCACGTCATTACGAAGGGGCTGTCAGCGAGGCTGCTCAATCGGACTTTGGCCAATTAGCTCCGCGAATTAACCTGTGTCACCTAGAGGTGCTAAATTAGCTACGCTTAGAATATCGGCACTCTGTTCCCAGATCTGCTAGTGGACGCCGCCATATTGGTGTAGAGTAGAGCAGACGGAACTGTCGATCATCACAATTCACAAATGTGACTTAGGACACGGTGGTAGGAAGCTTAGGTGATATCGTTTTGCTGTGTCGCGAACTGTTCTAACACTTCTGAAATACAAAAAAAAAAAAAAAGTTTTCTGCGATTTTAGACAAAGCTTCAGATAACTGTCAACCATGATTTTAAGCACCAAGACGGCTTAAGTGTCGTAACTCTGAAGCATATAGTTTATTTAGTAGCTCTACTGTCATTCATAAAACGAAGAACAAAACACCTTTTTTTTTTTTGCGCTCGGTAGTTTTTATGTGAAAAAAAAAAAATGAACGACGTTTACAAATCTCTGTTATGTTAAATTAGAGCGCAGCTCTTGAGTAGGAGGAGGGGAGGGTGCAAAGAGGAGGGTATGCCCCTTCTCCTCCTCCGTACTCTCCCGTCCTCCCCTTATTGTCTACCCCTCTTTCCTCCTCCTGTTTCTCCTCCCCGCCTCCTACTCATTTCCTCCTCCTCCCCTCTTCCTCCTCCCACAGTTTCCCCACTAAATTTAGCTGGAAAATTGACGCCACGTGACCTCAACACTAATTCAGCTTCCCCGTTAAATTTAGCGGGGAAAATGACGTCACATGACTTCGTGTCACCTCACGCATGAACAGATTCAGTTTCTCTGCTAGATGTAGCGGGATAATTTAGCGGGGAAACGTAACCTGCTACATTTAGCGGGGAAATTTAACGGCAGGAGGAGGAAAGGAGAAGGGGGGAAGAGGACGAGGAGGAGAGAAAGAGGAAAGGAGGAGGGGAGAAGGAGGGACATACCCTCCGCTCTGTACCTTCCCCTCGCCCTCCTCAAGAGATGCGTTCTAGTTTCTCATTACAGAGAGTTGTAAACGTACTTCATAGAGCGTACCTCTTAGGCACCCGTTGTCGGGTTGAGCGGCATCGGTGTCGCCGTCGACGTCGGCGTAACCGCGCTGAATTTAGTGAGAAAATTGACATCACGTGACCTCAACACCAGTTCCATTCCCCGCTAAATTTAGCGGGGAATTGAATTGGTGTTGTGGTCACGTAAAGTCAATTTTCCCGCTAAATCGAGCAGAGAAACTGAATTTGTTTACGGTGACGTGACACCAAGTCATGTGACGTCATTTTCCCCGCTAAATTTTTTGGGGAAACTGAATTAGAGGATGGGGGAGAGGAGGGTATGAAGGAGAAGTAAGTGCCCTGACCCACGTTTGGCCTCCTCATGGGACGTCGAATACCCGGCCTATATGGCCTTGTCACGTAGGAGGAGTTGATGGTATAATACCGCCCGAGTTGAGAGCGAGATGTGCGCGGGCAGGTCCAACGGTGGCCTTCTTGTGCGAGTACGACGCCCTCCCGGAGATCGGACATGCCTGCGGACACAACCTGATCGCCGAGAGCTCGGTGGCAGCCGCCGTCGCCGTCAGGGAGGTCCTCCTCAAGAGTCCACACATCCGTGGCAAGGTCTGTGACACTACCAGTTGGCCAACAATTCGAAGAAGAATAAAAAAAAAATAAAAGACGTTTCCGACACCCTGTAACGCCGAATTAGAGCGCAGCTCTTAAGGAGGAGGGAAGGGTACTGAGGGGAGGGCATAACCCTCCTCCCTCCACTTCATTGTCCCTGATGCTCCTCCTCCATCATTTCCTCCCTCCTCTCCTCCTTGTCATCCCTCCTCCCTTCCTCCTTCCTCTCCTCCCCTCCTCCACCCCCTCCCCCTCGTCGTCGTCCTCCTCCCCTCCTCCTCTCCTCCCCCTCGTCCTCCTCCCCGCGCGGTGCATTATGGGACATTTCCCATAATGCACCGCGCGGTTACGCCGACGGCGACGCCGCTCAAGCCGGAAACGGACGCCTAAGAGCTGCGCTCTTAAAAAAGAAACACAAAACGAAAAGTGGAAGTTATCTAACACTCCCTATAGTATACACCAACACAATGTTTCCGAACAAAGCCCGCTTTGCCCACACCAGGTGTGGGTGCACTGCGCGTGCGCGGAAACCAAACTCGGGGAAATTGAAGCGCTTGCGCATGCGCAGTACCGACAGCAGCGCCACCGCAGTGGCATGACGTCAGTGAGTTGAGTTGGTCTATGCGACCCGACGGAGCCAATCAGACAGCACAAATATGTGCATCGTCACGGCGCACGTCGTCTCTGTGCGTTTGATATCGCTGGCTGAACCAATCACGGGCAGTAAATGTCCCGTGAGTGCATGAGTTGTGTAGCCGGTGATAGGAAACCAACGTCCTTGTAGTAACACAAAAACTACGAGCACCATAACGATGCCGTTTTGGTGCTTTTACCTCATGGCACTGGACGAAAGAGTGTTTGTTTACCCATTCCGCCTTGACTGACTCAATAATTTCTTCATATTTTTTTTAACAGTGAAGTTGTTTATGGCTAGGTTTCCGTGGATTTTTCGTGTGCGTCAACAAATACTCCATTTTTCCTCCCAAAGTTAGCAAGAAAATTTACCCGCTAAATTTGGCGTGAAATTTATGACGTCAAGTGACCTCAACACCAATTCAGCTTCCCCGCTAAATTTTTTTAGCGGGGAAAATGACGTCACGATTTCGTGTCACGTCACCCACGAAGAACTTTAGCGGCAGGAGAAGAGGAGGGAAGCGCACCGCCCTCTCATTGTCGTCGTTCCAAGCGCTTTCGCGCCTAGTTTCCTTTCCTTCCGCCGGGTGGCGGTCCCGTCGCGCGTGTCTAGTCTCCACCGGCTCCTCGGGGCGGCGATAGTCCTCGACATGTGTGTGCGTACCTGGATCGCCACGATGACGACCGATCAAGACAATAAATCTGTTCGTACCTTTGCTCAAAATTCTGTGTCACGTCTGTGTCGTGTGCTAAACAGCTTCGCTACTCATACACCTTCACAAAGTGGAATGGCCCATAATTTTTCGCGTTGGATTCACCAGTGGCAGTAAGCGTTGACGATGCGAAATCGATGCCCAAATTCGACGCCGCGACTTCGTTCTTTTCGGGGCGTCGGATTAGATATAGAATCAAAACCGAAAGAGATATGCGGGAGAAAGTGCACTCCTCGTGCCAAACGCAAAAGAATGGCGCTGTCCGGCGCATGGCTCTTTTTTTTTATCGCAATATAATGCAGCCAGATAACAATTCGTCGCGGGTGAAACTGCGAATTTTACTCCATGGTCCCCGTGTAGACAATACATCGGAGTATATCTGTATCTATTTTGACTTCTTAATCCTCGTCTAACGCGGGACAATGCTGACTCGAGAGCAAGCATTGTTTGGGGTGCAGACATTAGGTCTGTTCGATTCGGCCAGAAAGTTCTGAACCAGTTCTGTCCCAGTTCTGTCCGAGTTCAGAGGAGTGCAGGAGTCGTGCAGGCGGCGGCGCAGAACCAGTGCAGCCGCCGCGCTAGGACTGGCGCTGTGGTCGGCTTTCCCAGCGGAAGCGCAGAGTGTCGTCTGCATCTGTTGGCTCTTGTTTCTAAACGCCAAGTTGTATGCTATATTTATTTGTTCGTTGGTTGATGAGACAATTCGTGTTTCCTTAGTTTTAAAGTATAATAACGGAATATTTTGTGTGAATATTTTTTTATTCGAGTGTACTAAAAACGTTTTCTGCACGAAATGTGTTTCTCTCTGCATTTTTAACGATCATTCGGTTCCTGTCGTGTCCATAAGTGTTCGTGTCCTTCACATTCATTTAGCAGTAGTAGATTCATTCCAAGTCTCTCGAGTTTCGCATTTCGACGATAGGTTCGCGGCATCAGGATGATTTTGCGTCGGGAGTCACTGGCGGCAGCGCGCGGTCGGTATAGCGGTCACCTCGAAGACGAAGGCCTGATGATAGCGTTTTGGTCAAGACAGTTATCGACCGTAACTTTGGCGTCAAGCTGAAGCGTTTATTATGATTCTCAAGAAAGTCCTACGTGGGACTATCAAGCCAATGCCGATTCTCGGCGTTTTTCCCAGGCCCGTATAGTGGTCGGCCACAGATACAAGCCGACAAAGCATGCAGTATTATGCTCAGCTACGGGCCATGCGAGGGCCAATGTACTAAATCCCAGACCACTGCAATGTACCGGAATCGTCAGTACGCATCCAGGAACAACTGAAGGCGGGGACAATCAAAGTGCAATAGCTTTCTCGCGTCTGTAAGGGAGAATATCAGGATCCCCACATAAGCGTCAAAAAGAAACAATTTACGTGAGCCAATAGTTCAACACTTACCACAGGGAGTCAAACTTACACGAGCAGGTGCCTAAAACGCTTTCAGAATATCATAATCAAGCAAATTCCTACCCTCGGATAGGATCTCAATTTCTCGTCCACCGCGGGTACGTTATTATCATAAGTGAGAGGAAATGCAACCTCCGTATCGGCGTTATTAGACAGTTTTAGTATAGCGTTGCTGGCTCCCACGCACGCAATACGCAATAGTATAGTGTACGCTAAAAATGACCTGTTGTGCGTTACGTTCAGTTGTGCGTTACGTTTTCGAGTGAACAGCGCGCATGATTTTGGTAAAATTTGATAGAGCCGTAGAATTCCGCGTGCTTATAGCGCAACCATGCTCCCGGTAAGAAATATTGAAAATGAAAATGTGTCCAATCATTTTATTTCAAATTAAACCAAGCCACAGCTGCGTCGTCAAGCGCGTTTTTCTGCGGGGTACAGAGGTTACGAGTACGAGTGCGTAGCCAAATTCGATCACGGAGCTTCCGTCAGTCGTCCCGTGGAAACGGCGCCTTTTATCAATGCTATCGCGGAATGAAATCATGACCTACTGATGTCCAGTGCATAGCGAGAACGTAGGCGATTTCTTTTAGAGTCGTTCGTCCGTCGGCGATGAACTGTGCGAATAGGCTTAATGTGTAATACGCAAAGCTATACCGTACGGTCCACTAAAACTGTCTATTGTTAAACATCGCAGACATTTGAGCAAGAGCTGCGAAAAACGGCACCGCGAGCAGAGACGGACGAGGAGGCGATAGCAGACGACCAGTCGCTGATCGTTTACTATCGCCGTCTGCTCTTTTCGCCTGCTGCGCGGACGCTGAACTGACTTCGGAGCAGGTGCAAGATTTTGAGGAACTGGGTCTGAACTCGTTCAGAACTGGGATGAATCGAACGCGCCAGTGCAGCGGCCGTGCAACTTCCGGTTGAATTGAATGCAACAGTTTCTGCACTGCAGAACTAGTTCAGCCTGTTCAGGCGAATTGAACAGACCTAATGCTTCAAAAGGCAACGGTTGAAGAATTATCAAAACAAAACAAAACGGATCCTTGACAGAAGCCAACGTTACTAAAACACTCAGTTAGGAAACTGCCATAGAGACTTATCTGAAAGAGTGGCCCCAATCTGTCCCCGAGAACCGAGCTAATGACGAACACAACGCCGCCATTCCTGCCACAGCGGTCACTCGAGGAACTGTACGTTACTTCTATTTTGGCTTTAATCGGCCATTTTGGAGCCGAAACGGATACAGCGGAAGAGGTTGTCTTTAATCGGTAGTAAGACACAGCGCGCTGTGTCTTACTACCGAAGTTAAAATGCACCTAGGTCGGGACGCGCTACCTGAAAGGACCGCTGAGGCATGGCTGTTAAAAACAATATTAATTAATTGTCCCGCAAAACCCTGCAAACTAAAGATTTTAAAAACATCACGCGCCCATCATTTTTTGTACTATACTCCAATAAATTTCATACAAAAAGAGTCTTTTCCCTTTGTTTTTACGCAAAAATAAGCATTGTAAAAGCTCAAGGTGACCACAGTACAGACAAATGATAAAGAGTGTCGCTGTTGTCGTATTTAGCTCGGTCTCGGTGGACGCCAGCGGCCCACGTTTCGACGGCGAGTTTCCCAACTGACTGTTCTAGTAACGTTGACAGAAGCTTACCGGACAGAAGCTCGCCAAACAGAAATCACCGAATTTTTTACAGACTTGGACAAATGCTCGCCGCTTTTACTCGTGAGCCCGCAGATACTCACTTGGATATAATTATTTCTATTTTACATGATCACGAATATGAGGAGATTTGCCCCAAACAATAGCTCAATCAATGAAAACGTATGTATGTCTTGCGCAGGGTTTAAAATCACTACATATGTAGAAGGAAGAATCGAAAGAGGGATCGTTAATACAACAAATTTTCGAACAGAAATATCCAGACCTATGATACTCGCATCGTGAAAAAATTATTATGACTAAACATACTCTGCTAGAAAGTGCAGTCCCCGGTCCAATAAAAATATGCGTTCATACAAAATGGCTGTTGTGCACTCACATGTGCTTGGGTGTTGTCTCTGCATATAACTTTTTTTTTTTTTAGATCTTATACTTGTTTCATAGCAGCAAGAACAGATTAGCTACCGGTTGGAATAATAGAGTGCTTGAACAACTGTTGACGTATCCCCGTCCCACCAAAAGTTTATCCCATCCCATTTTACGCCGGGTGAGTTGTCCGCCGAAAAATTGGTGAGCTTTTGTCCGATCCCCAAGAAACACACGCACGCACACAAACATGCACGCACGAACACACATACACACACACGCACAAAAATAGGAGTTGTGAAGAATTAGAGTTCTTTTAAACGGAGCTACGTTGTCATGGCTATCGTAGCTTTCGTGGTGCTCAATAGCTGTAAAAACTACTTGCGTGGGCGCCAGCGAATGAGGGTGCCTCAATGCAAAGCGCACATGAAGGCACCCTAATTAAGTCAAATGCACGTACGCTTTCACAGGGCTGGGCAGTATCGCGACACAAATGTATCGCAATAGTATCTTAGATCTAATTTTGAGTATATCTGTATCTCTGTATTGAGATACATTTGGAAAATGTATTTGTACATCCGTAGGGAAATAAACTTACGATGGGTACTGAATGTATCGCGATACTCCGCCAGGGTTATGCGTCTCGCCACATTTGTTGTCGAATATTGACGAGAAATAGCAAAATAAGCTCCTCCGACGAAGCCCTCACCACTTTCCACTTAATTAAGCTGAGGGAACGTTAGAAAGGAGAGGAGGGGACGGAACCACCAATCATGAACCGTAGATTGCTTTTAAAGACACATTGACACCCCTCCCCCCGCCCCCCCCATTTTCTTTTTTGTATCTTTTGCCAGGCGATTTAACATGGTGTCAGATGACTGCCATATCAATATTTTCAAACTGCGTCACTAATGTGTTTAATAAACTAAACAAAAAACTAAAAAAAGAACGCCACTGCTCCGAAATGAAACCCAAAATGAAAAGTATAGAGGAGAAGAACGTTTTCGAAAGTCACGTGGCTGTGCTACTTTTTTTTTTTCAATCAAAATATTTGCAGTTTTTTAGAACCCACAAAAAAATGGGTGTCATATTCCCTGCCTATTTTTCTTTTTTTTTGTATTGAGTGTATGCCTTCGATGACCCACCACTTTGCTATCTTTGGTGGCTGTGCCTAAACCATAGAAAACGGCCCGTGACCACGGAGAAGAGAGTGAGCACGACTCAAGCCGGCTAGTTCTCGATCGGCGGTTTTCGGGAGGAAACAAAAACGAATTTCGAGCCGCAAATTGTGTCCTGGGTAGTTGGGCTCGCATGTGTCATGTACAAATAAAAACGTTGGCGACCATAAAGACACGGACAGTGTCCCTTGAAGACTCTCCCTCTTTCTTGCAACAGCATAGGCTCCGCGCAGACTGGACTTCGTTCGATCTCCCAACCTCGGGGGACTGAGAAGCACTTCATACCACCGTTTAAGAAATACCTTCGCAGTAAAACAAGGTTCACTTTGGACAGACTTATTTTGTAAAGCATGGCGCATGCAGTCGTTGGCATTCAGGACATCTGTGGGTCACTGTTGGAGATTATGTTTTTTTTAGGAGCATTCCGGAAGGTAGTTGCGAATTCATGAATAGTTCGATGTGAGGTGAGGTGCATAAAACGACAGCAAAGGAGGAACACAAGCGTACGGTATAAACTATAGTCTCCGCTCCTACCATTATTGCTGAAAGGTAAAAAGAAGCATTCCCGCATTTCTCTGTATTCCGGTATACTATTTTGCCGTTTTTGCAGAAGAATCTCAGACCTATGCCGCTACCTAAAAGATATATGTATCTCGGTATCTACATCTTGGCCTTAAAAGTTATGCATCTCAGTACGTATATCTTGGCCTTAAAAGATATTCGTATCTCAGTATTTCTATATTCCGGCGTATATTTTTAGAGTATCTCTGCCCAGACCTGCCCTCGCAGTAGTGCGGATCTGTAGCATTGTGGAAGCCACGTCAGTCTCGACGACGTTACAAAATGTTGACTCCGCGTATGTTTTTGCTCGTCGTTACAGTGTGCACCACTACTGCGTGGTGCACACGAAAGAGGCTAGTAGTAGCACTGCACCGGCTAAATTTCTCGTCTACACAGGAGACATTAGACACCTAGTGGTGCTGACTAATATCTCGTTGACTACACAACATACAATTATCTCTACACTTTTTTTTATAGTCTGAGCGCTATGGCGTTGAATACACTTTTACGAAAGAATTACCCATAAAGGACAGAACACGGGCAGCACATCCGTGTTCATTCCTTTACGCGTAATTCTTTCGTAAACGTTTAAAAGCTCTGAGTGCTCTCGCGGCCGTGGCATATGTAGCCTCGGTGGTGACCTGACGCTGATGACGACGTCATCAGCGCTTTGGAAGGTTCACCGTGACGTCATCAGCGTCAAGGCCACTGATGCGTCATGTGCCACCATGTTGCCACGGGGCACTGTGCGTCATGTCACGGAACATGACGTCACCTCACCGTGTGACGTTAGATCACCACCACGCCACCAGGTCACACCTCCTAGTAATAAAGCGCATTTTGCTACGTCACTGAAGAAGACCATCGTGTGCTACAGATTGGTAGAACACAGATTGGTCCGAATCGTGTCCAATCCGTGAGAGCCCGAGGCCCTGCCGAACGCTAACGCCCCAGTCGTCTCCGATCTGTGGCCTCCAGTGGCCTTTTTTAGTGACGCAGAAAAATTGGGCATTTATTGGCTCTCTTAGTTAGGAGGTGTTCTTACAGGGGATATTAAATGCTATGCATTCAGAGTACCTTCAGGTTGCACCAAAGAGACAGACTGTCTAATGTGCTCTCGTGTTTGCGCCGACAAACAGAATAACTCAGATTATTGAAGTGGAAAGAAACAGCTCAAAATACGTAAGACAAGTGGAATTAGTACACATGCACACACAACGCTGTGCGTGTGTACTTGTCCTACTTCCGTCTTTGGCTCTATTTGTTTTTGTTCAACTAATTAGCCCAGCTCCACGCCTTGTTATCTCAGATTAGCTTGGACGTTGTTGCAGGTCCTTGTGATAGGGACCCCCGGCGAGGAGAACTGTGGCGGCAAGGAGATGCTCCTGCAAAAGGACGCCTTCAAGGACGTGGACGCGGCACTCGTGGCTCATCCTGCGCGCCAAGACATCCTTAAAACGTCTTTCACGGCCATGCAGCTTGTAAGCGTTATCCTGGTTTCTAAAGCCTTTGACTACGCTACCCCTCAGAGGCACAACACTTGACCGATCTTATACTCCGTTTCACCTTATGTTGTACCGCAGCGAAGGCTAAACGCGCGAGATCATAGCTTTGGCAGCTGCGCTTAATGCACGAGAGCTTGTGCCGCCGAGATGTGCCCTAGAGCAAGACGCTCGCGCTTATAGCCTTTCCTGCGGTACATCATAAGGAGAAACAGAGTATAGTAACCATCAAGACCATTTTGAACTTTTTTAATGCGTTCTCTGATTTTTTAAATTTGGAGTCACACTGCTTATACATCACACAAACGACAGCCTGCATACATATTCAAACCCGACTCACTTCGAGATCCGTGCTTCGAATGCAGGATGGCGACGAGTTCAAGGAGGAACATAACACGCAGAATAGACCTTTCGCTAAATTATTCAAGCATCGAAGCGAATGTTGGAAACGTAGGTACACGTGCTGCATGTACTCGCCATTTTTATAGAAAATATTCGAAGTAAATGACCAAAATAAAGCTCCCGTGGAACGTGCGTGCGAAGTGTCCTTTGTTTCAAAGTTTTGCTTTTCAACAGTTAGAGCTAAAGAAAAGGCCAGCACGCGGAGCGCTTGTACCTGCGTTTCCGGCATTCTATTCGATGCTTGGGTAATTCGGCAAAAGTTCTATAAGAACCACGGATATTACGGTGACTCCTGTTTTCAGGCTGTCTTTTGTATGGTTGTGAATGGGGCCAGCTGAACATGGAAAACACACAGAGAAAAAATATAACATTCGCACCGCTGGTGTCCCCGGCTTAATGACCTTGCAATACGCTCAATTTTCCTATTCAGTTCTATGAAGTTTATTATATCGTTTAAAATAAATCAACGAAACCTAAGCTCACGTTCGGTTTTCCCGTCATACAACTTCTTCTTAAATCGAAGTCAGGTCCACGGTAACCGCAGTACGGTAACGGCAGTACGGTAACGGTAGTACAGTAACGGTAGTATAGTAAAGTTTTTCTAAAAGTTTTTACTAAATAGCATACCGGGAAAGGGTAAAGACCGGTGATTCCGAAAATATAGTTAGCTGGGTTAGCTCAAGAAATCGCCGGAGTACCCTTTTAAAGGGGCGATGCAACGATTTTTGTACTTTCCGCAATTACCGGTATCCCTGACGTTAAAAGAGGGGCCTTTTAACGTCAGGGATACCTCGCTCTCCGCAACCCGCTACGATACCAGCAGCTCTACAGTCAAGGCCATCGGCGCACAGGTTCAGTATAGTGGCTTCTTCGTTGCGGATGTCTTAGCGGAGGGTGAAAAGCGGTCTACGAAAACTCCAAAAATGACCTGTGAAACACCCGTTCGTTTTTCACCCCAGGCTATCAAAATCGCAGAAAAAAAAAGAGCAGCTTTTATTTCTTCATGATCTGAAGCCGATTATATGCCGCCAATGTTGATCATAGCCACGCGCCGAGTTCCAGACGTTATTATGGTTCGGCTATTGTCGTCTTTGCAGCGGTTGGACACGGGCCACTACCCGAATGCTTCTCGAGCTATCGATTATCACGAGCCCAAATCGAGTGCCACGCAATGCTCGAGTCCAACCTATGAGTCGAATTCAAATATCGAGGCGGTACCGCGACCGCCCAGCGACGTCATCGAGTTTTGCGAAGGAGATATTGAATGAAAACGCTCGCTTTTGTCCTCGAAATTATACCGCAACAAAGGAGTTTCTTGGTCAGTGGCGTTACGTGCGATTGTACTTGGGTCCCACTAGTGTCAGTAAACTCGTGTACAGTGAAAACCATTCCAAGCGAATATCGTTGCACCGCCCCTTTAAAAGCGTGATGCAACAATTTTAGTACTTGGCACAAATACCGTTAGAACGAATCCCTGACGTTAATGACCTATTAAACACGTGTTAGTTTTTTACCACATGCCGTCAATGTGGATCATAGCCAGGGGCTGGGGTTGACAAAGTGCAGGATACGCGCTGAGTTCCAGACAATGTTATGGTTCGGCTATTGTCGTCGTTGCCGCTACTGAAAACGGGCCCTAGGCCTACCCTAATGCTTGTCGAGCTTTTGATCATCACGAGCCTCCCTTTAAGAAAAACCTCCCTTCTCCTATGAAAAAACCAAAGTGAAATGAGTTTTCTTTTGCGAGAGAAAAAAGTACTCGTTACTTTGTGTACAAAATGAAGTCTAATTTGAGTATTCCGTGTGTCGAGTATTCCCGCATAACAAGAATTCCTTGTACAAGAAGCCCTGTTAAGGGTTGACCTACCGAACCAGTTTACCTATGGCTAGTTGAGCTGTGACGAATGGGCTTGTGACGAGTTTTCCTTGACCCCTGGTGATATCCCACACTGCCTGGCGATAGTTACAAAATCGCAGAGAGTAGGCAAACTGGAGTAGGAAAGAAATTGTGCTATTGGTTTTTCACTTCTAGGTTAGGTGGCGCAAGCTGCCGCCCACTCTAAAGGGTAAAGCCGTTAGCATCCATTAGAGTCGTATATTGAGAGAGTTTGGCCATTCATTGGGAAGTACGGGCTCTTTGCACTGACGTCACATCGCATACTTTTGAGCACCATGTAAAATGAAGAAAGGGAAGCTGCTTTTGTAAGAATTTTGAGTGACAGGTTAATCCTCTATAATCTTCTGGGAGGAGAACAGCGACGGAGGATTCTGATAAGAGGGGAACTCCTTCTTCCGCTTTTCTCTGGAGGGCATCGGAAATGACGTCATGTGCAAGAAAAAAAGGAAATCTAACGCATTGTCCATACTCCGTGCCGAATAGTTCTTAGAAAATTTGGTTGTCGGAGTAAGAGGTGATGCTTTCGGCGTTTGAAACGTGTGCGTGTTGATAAGATAACATCTGTATTATCTAAAATGAATCTGCATATAACTTAATTCTCTACATAAAAGGGATTAGCAATTCTCTATCATGAGCCTCACTTTCTTTTTACTACAGTTATTGAGGTGAAAACGGGTATATAACACACTGTAACCTACTTGTAAGATCGTTCCAAGCTCAATCCCTTCACCAACACCAGTGCGAAGACGAGTGCCCTATCCTAACTGCGTTTGAATGTCTTCGCAGCTAACGATCCGGTTCCGTGGACGGACTGCTCACGCGGCCGCGTCTCCCTGGGAAGGCCTCAATGCCTTGGACGCAGCCGTCACTTCTTACATGAACGTCTCCGTGCTTAGGCAGCAGATGAAGCCTGAGTGGAAAGTACAAGGTATGGCACCCGAGCAGCTCTAGCACGCGCTTTCGTTTTGCTTTAAAGACCGACGACCAGTTCGCGCTTTCCACTTTTCCCTCGCCTCCTCCTCTCCCCCCTTCTACCCTGTCCACCCTTGCCTGTTTCCTCCTCCCCCAGGGTGAGGAGGATCTTCTGCCTTGCAGAATCTTCTGTCTGGTCGCTGGCCTTTAAACTAAGCAAGATTTTTTTTTTTTTTTTTTGGGGGGGGGGGGGGGGGGAGGGGGGTTTACGTAGCCTCCTTCATACTCACAAAGTTTGGCAGTTCGACGTCGGAACCATAGAAAGCCCGGTCGCAGATTCGGAGCGAGAGGATCTGGTAACACAGAGCATCGAAGAGCCAAGAGAAAGGAACGGCCGTTTCCTCGTAAAGTGTAACAAGTTCCCGTTCTAGTTCCACCGATGCAGGATGGAATGACGGCGTTCTTTCGTTCCTTGCCCACGCCGTTCCGTACAACAATGGACCGCATCCCCTGTTGTGCGGTCGCTCGCAAAATGTGCCACAATAAAATGCAAAAAAAAAACAAAAAAACAGCGTTTTGACAGTTTGTTTTAGTGTGAACTGTTCGTGCAGTATATAAGCGGAGAATATATAATGTGAGTTTTCTCGTGTCTTAGCCGAAGCGCCCCCTAACGTGAATTGCAAGAGTGCCATGAGGCAGGGCGGCTTCCCCACAGATGTCCCTACCAGATGCCTCGCGGTGCAGCTAATTCCTCAAAGCGAAAAGAGACAGACTGCACTCGCACTGTTTACAGGGGTGATGCTGAACGCCGGCAAGTACCCGAATGTCATTCCGGAGGAGAGCGAACTCAGGTACCAGGTCCGGGCCCCGAACACGGATGAACTGAACCTGCTGGTCTCCAGGGTCGAAGCGTGCTTTAGGGGCGCCGCTGAAGCCACGGGATGCTCGGTGGACATCGCCAAGGGAATCAAGTACAAGCACATGATTAACAATGGCACCATCATCGACGTCTTCCAGAAACACGCTGAGGCTCTTGGTGAGCGCTGACCACGACTATACAAAATTATCTAAGCCTAAAAAAAAAAAATACAAATAAAAAAAAACACTTCTGTTTTGGTAACATTGCTAATACATCGTACCAACGACAGTGTGCAGAGATTCCCTGAAGCGTGCTTTTTCCTTGAATGACGGTATATACTGTCAGATAGGTTAAGCAAAGACTGTCTGCAGGCATGTTCGAAGTATACCGTATGCGGAGCGCAAGTTTGTCTGCTTCTTTTGCAAGAGTTCTGGTGATATCAGAACGCTGAGCTTTGATTGGCTCTTATTGAAGGATAGTGGTTAGACCTCAAAGCAAACTGCCCTCGAGGTCTACCTACTATCCTTCAATCAGAGCCAATCATAGCTCGGCGTTCTGACGTCACCACAACCCCTGCAAAAGAAGCAGACGAACTTCTGCTCCGCATACGTGCGAAGTAATCATGCTTTAAAGATGCTTCAGGCCTGTCCATAGACAATTCTTTCGTCTTGTATGCAGGGAGTATCGTGCCTTTTGTATTATGTATACGAGACTGCGGGCTGCGGGCGAGCTGCTGTAAGTTCATCACACGGTGATAAGACCTGCGTCTGCGGTGGACAAGAGGAAAACAGACGGTGGAAGGATTAAAAAAAAGGAATTTTGACAACGTATGAACACGATAAAAAAGCGAGGTCAGAGGAACGAACAGGAAAACAAAAAAACGAACACGGAACAAACACGCGCTGCGTTCCGTCTTTTTTTTTTTTTATCGTGGCCATTTAAGTGTCGTTTTTCATTGTGTTTAACAATCACCAACTGTAGCCCAACTATCACCTACCAACCTCTGAAACCTACAGGGTGTCACAAAAGAAAATTTACATGTTTTTGTAACCGCAGAAATAAACTATAGGCATCGCCGAACGCTCATTCTCCGCCCAAAGGTAGAGCTAGAGGTCACAACCAGATGCCAAAGTTTCAGCCCGATCCGATAACTTAATAAAAAGTTATAAGTGATTTTCTGAAAATTTCAATGGGAAAATGGCGGCCGACAGACTTTTCAAACACATGGGGCTCTATGGCACTAGAAACCGAAAACGGGCGAAAATGGGCTCCATTTTCCCATTGAAATTTTTAGAACATCACTTATAACTTTTGATTAAGTTATCGGATTGGGCTGCAACTTTGGCATCTGGTTGTGACCTCTAGCTCTACCTTTAGGCGGAGAATGAGCGTTCGGCGATGCCTAGTTTATTTTTGCGGTAAAAATGACAGTGTAAATTTTCTTTTGTGACACCCTGTACATCTCCGAGATCGCAACGCCGTGGGGCGGATTATGGACGATGAACGGTCATTTTGGAGGGTGAGGCTTTGTAAAAAGATTGAAAAATAAAATGCCTCGATCGGTACCGCCAGTGTAAGCACAACTGATTTAAACCTAATTCGATAAAAACGAATTGGGTCCTGGGATCAAGTGGAAATTTCACCAAAAAGCCAATTGAGAAGTGAACCAAAAAAAAACTGGGCCTCGCCAAAAGAACGACCCAGGAAGGACCGACAGGGAGAAAGGACCCCGAGAAGCCCGACACCAGCCCAACCCCGCGAAGGTGCACGAAAGGGCGACACCAGTGGGTCGACAACGGTCGAGGGCATCCCTGCGCCGCAAAACCGCCGCCGTAGTGATATTTGCTTTTCCCCTCCTCCCAAGGAGAAACCACTATCAGGGCCCCCGCCCCCCTCCGCCCTGTCAGGATGAACGGACAGATGGACGGAGGGACTAACTAGCCAACTGTAGACGGACGGACAGATGAACGAATTGATGGACGGATTGGTGGATCCGGCTGAACCCTTTTAATCGGGCGGCGGCTTGCGCTACCTATAGCCAAAGTTAGGTGGCGCCACCTAAAGGAGACCAACGCGGGGTTCGAATTGACTCCGTAAGTGATGACGTCACAACAGGGCGCTCTGCTCCAAACAAACAGTTTCTATGCTAGGGCCGTTGTTAAGGAGTCTAAACAGATGCTTTTCTCCTTGTATTTTTAGCAGATCTCCATACATGTGATGATTTTCATCAGAGAGTATCCCGCATCACACACACATACATATTGTTTTTATAAACCTCATGAGTTTTCTTAGGCCCTGCCATGTTCCCAATAAATACAAAATCAAAATCGTAGCATTGTGCAAACGAATCAAATAGTTGCACAGGGCATACTTGAGTCATTCCAAATGCTTTCGTCATGCGTTCGTCATCTGCGTTCGCTCACGGCGCACCAATAGGCATATTGTCATTCGATCTCCGATTATAACGCAGGCATGGTCTTTGAGGACGCCGATCCGGCAGTGGCGAAGAGAACCGGGGCTTCGACGGACACGGGCAACGTGTCTCAGCAACTGCCCACCGTGCACCCCGTGTTCGCGATTCCATCGAAGGGGCGCAACCACACCCGAGAGTTTGCCGCTGGTGCGGGCGACACCGGCGCCCAAGAACCAACTCTGAAGGTGGCCCGGGCCATGGCGCTGACGGCTCTCGACTTGCTCGCGAACCCTGGACTGATCGGCCAGGCTAAAAAGGAGCTGACGCTCGCCACCGCCTTGACGACAAATAAGTAACCATGTACTTGGGACTTATTGATGGATTGCCAATGGCATGAATGCCTAAATATACCTATAATGATTGTTATGTTTCATCTTCAGAGCACACTGAATTATTGATGAGGCCCGGTTTGTTTATGGGCAAGACATTCAGTCCTACCCGAAACAATAAAATGTTTATTTAGATGCGTTATATGAGTTAAAAGTAAGTGTGTTGCGTCCATGTTTAGACAGCTGGAAGTTGGCCAGTTCCAATGGGCGTCTGACTTTGGTTTGCTATGTTATGTTTGCTTGCTACTTCCGCCCCTGCATCTTTGTAGCGTACATGATTTAATTGTCTGCGCGTTTCTCGGTGTGTTTCATGTCTTAAAGTGTTCAGTGTCAGTAAAATTTTCTTTATAAGCGAATCCCTTTGCGAGGTTTTTGGCCGTCTGTATGTTAGCATCTCTTTGCGTCTAGCTAGCAGGCGTGGAAGGCAATGGCTCTACTTTCCCAGGATCCGGTGTCTTTAGTACACGCTATAGTTCTGAGCAACATGCTCGTGCTTGTAGCTTCCACCTCGGCCCCACATAGTGTAAAAAAATAGTAATATATACAAGGTAGGGCACAGGCACGTGAGCCTAGATCTGCCGAATGCTTTTGTTGGCGCGAGATTTCGCGCAGAAAGTGAACTTTCCAAGGTCACACAATCGCGGCCGTGCTTTTGTCAGCACTGCAGTTGTTTGTAAGATAAGCAATACATATCCCAGAGCTCGCTCGTAGTCAGAAGCAGAAAAACGACACCTCTACAAAATGCACATCATACACTCTTGAATATGAGTGAACCACGCCACCGCACTCACGGAATTCCTCATGGCGGAGTAATGCAGTGATGCACGAGACTGTTGATCATCTGCCACGTGGAGCTCAGCCAGCACGATTACGGCATGGCGGCGCGAATTTGTAGAGCCTAAACAAATGGTGCTTAGCAGTCGAGTTTTCGTTTTCACCGGAACGCAAACTTTCTCAATTAACCTGGTAACGACAAAGTATCGAGGAATTCTATTAAGAGATAATGATTCTGAAACAATTTGACATTGCAAGGCGGTACTACATTTTGTATTTATCTTTTAATTTAAGTTTTGAAACGCTTAAAACCGGAAACTAAAAAAAAAATTTTTTTTTTTCTTTTGTAAGAATTCGAGGTTTTATAAGACAATATTGAACTCAAAATCAAAAAATATAATTTAGCGAAGCGATTCAGCTTTTAATTATCTTTCGAATACAACCACGACGCCAATAAATTCAGTAGCTGCTGAGAATAACCAAAAAGTTGCCGTAGGTAATGCATAAGCTTTTTTAGTGTGATATCCTCTTCTGGGCTATTGGCCTCGAGGACCCAGAGTGAATTGTGTGGAAGCGTGCTTTTGTTTATCCATGGTTCCATATGAGTTCCTTCAAAGTGGCCCGGATGCCCAAGAGCACCAAAGGAAGATGGCTCACCCAGTTGGCCCTGTCGTCCTTTGTGATGAGCGAGGCCTTGAGTTGCCGGTGTAGTCTCTCAACCATGCCGTTGGCGGACGGATGGTAGGCTGTCCTGTGGATGTGGCACATTCCAAGCATTTTCGCCAGTGATGCGAAGAATGAACTTTGAAATGGCCTACCACGGTCCGTGGTGACGATAGAAGGGCAGCCGTACCGCGCAATCCAGTTGGTGATGAACGCTTGCGCCACGGTTTGTGCGGTGATGTCCGTAATTGGAATCGCTTCTGGCCATCTGGTAAAGTGATCCACGCATGTAAGGATATATCGGCACCCTTGGGATGGTGGGAGGGGTCCGACAATATCGACATGCACGTGGCCGAAGCGGGCGTCTGGTGGTTTGAAAATATGTAGCGGGCTCTTTGTATGACGCTGAATCTTGGAGCGTTGGCAAGAGGTGCAAGACCGCGTCCAGAGGCGAATGTCTCGGTTGATGTTGGGCCAGACATATCTCGAGCAGATCAGTCGTTGGGTTGCACGAATACCAGGATGGTTCAGGTCATGGAGGGAGTGAAAGATGGGGCGTCGAAAAACGGCCGGAATGTACGGTCGGGGCGTTCCCGTTGAGGTGTCGCATACCACATCGCATGTTGCGAGTGGTAGAGGTACAGGTCGAAGCTGCAGTGAGGTGGAGGACTCTTGGAGTCACTGCAACTCGTCGTCATTCTTTTGGGCTGTTGCCAGTTTGGAGAAGTCGAGGTCAGGTGACGCACTGAGTGTCTCGACGCGTGACAGGGCGTCCGCCGCCTCATTGTTCGCTCCAGATACGTGGCGCAGATCAGTTGTATATTCTGAAATATAAGCGAGGTGACGAATCTCTCGGGTCGAATACGATGTCCGATTAGAATGGAAGGCGAAGGTGAGGGGCTTGTGGTCTGTAAGGACATGGAAAACCCGGCCTTCCAGGAAGTGTCTGTAATGCCATATTGCTGCATAGATCGCAAAGAGTTCGCTACCAAACGTGCTGTAACGTGTCTCCGCCGGCTTCAACTTCTGTGAGAAGAAGCCTAGCGGAAACCAGTCCGTCTGGTTGTACTGTTGTAGAACAGCTCCCACTGCGACATCCGAAGCGTCGACCATAAGTCACGTGGGTGCGTCTGGTCGTGGGTAAACGAGAAGTGCCGTGTCGACAAGAGCTTGCTTTGCAGTCTTGAACGACTCCTCTGCCATTGAATTCCATTCCACCGGTGATGTGGGACCTTTTGGTGAGGGCAGCAGATCTGTTAAGGGCTTGAGAATTTGGGCGCAGTTGTTAATGAAGCGTCGATGGAAGTTGACGAGGCCCAAGAATTTTCGCAACTTACGAAGTGACTTGGGTTGCGGAAAGTCCTTGATGGCTTTCATTTTCTAAGGTAACGGGTGAATGCCTTCGGGTGTCACTTGGTGTCCTAAGAACTCGAGGTCGCACGTGCCGAAGACATATTTTGCTGCGTTGACGACGAGACCATAGTTGTGTAGCTGCCCGAAGAGTAAGCGCAGATGTTGTTCGTGCTCTTCCGGGGAACTGCTCGCGATGAGGAGGTCTCCGGGTCACCAATTGAAGTGGCCAAGGTGGCCCTTCATTTATTTACAGGATATATTTAGATACCGTCCGGACCGGGAACCAGCCAGCTGGGCCGGTTTGCTCATCTTGCGGCTGCGGACGCGGCCGCGGCCAGGAGGGATTTTTACGTCACGTGACCAGCTCCATGGGGACAAGGAAGTACCTAGCGTCCCTGCCTAATGGCGGAGAGATCCGCATCGCTTCAAGCACAAAAGCCTAATTTCGCTCGCAGAAACTGATTGGAGGAACTTTCAACTGGAATCTAATTGACCGCCCCTTTATACTGTAGGAGCGGCAGGCAAAGTTACGGCCAGGGAGGGCAAATAGGAGCCAAAATAAAGAAAAAACCACACGAGATAAAAGCGGTAGCGGTATTTTTATATACCTCCGCCGGCGCCGCGCCTCGCGCCTTCTGTTGTGGTCGAGAGGTTAAAGCGCCGGTACTTGTCGTCGCGGCGTGAAAGTTCCGGGTTCAGATCGCGCTAGGGTCTTCTTTTTTTTTTGTATTTTGCGCGTTTCTTACTTTTGAACTGTGATCCTTTTTTGGAAATCATCCACTTGCACTACTGCGCCTTACACGCTTTTACTGTTAGTCCCACCTGTTCAATCGAAACACCGGGAAGAAGAAAAAAAAGATCAACGCAAGTTAACGCGCTAATGCAATCATTTCGTAATGTTCATTCAAATGAAACCAAGCTAACAACATCAGTATGGCTTTCACACAAGCGGAGTCGAAACAAGCATCCTTTCCCCAGCAACTACAATTTTATCTGTTTTCAAATAACGCTCTTGCTACGATTCCTTTCAATAACAAGAGACGCCTATTTAGGACTAATAAAAACTGCAGTTGTAGCAATTAAAAAAAAATAAAACAAGCAAAAAAAAAAAAAGACTAGCAGCTGTGGATACATTGATTGAGCGAAATCCTACAGGCAAAACAGCAAGTCAAACGTCTGAGGAAGTAGTAAAACGTAACTAAAAGAGATCGTACTTTTCCTTGCATGGAATGAGATAAAAAGTATATTTATACTCTTTACATTTTGTTGTGGCAATCGTTTTGTAATATTAACACATTACTTGTTGAATTTTAGTTAGACTAGCAGACGATCACGATGACGTTAGCAAAGGATTGATTGATTGATTGAAACGTTTATTTAATTTCCATGCCTCTGGTCTATGGAACCTTATGTGGCATGGGGGAAGGGGGAGTGGGAGAGGGGTAGTGATGGGATGGTGATGGATTAGACGTACCGTCCGATCCCGGAGGACCGGAGGTAGGAGATGATTGATGCGAAGATGAGATCTCGTTCTGCGGGTGCTGAGGTTCTCGGATGCGTCCATTCCCGAAGGGTCATTGGTCTAAGGTGCGGTGGTAGGGTGTTAATTGCCGCTATCCGTTCTAGTGACGTCCCTTCACAGGACCATACAAGATGGTAGCAAGTCGCAGGGAAACCGCAGTGTGGACATCCAGGGTCAGGACCTGTGTCATTCTCATCTGTTGACTTGTAGAACTTGGCACGCCAAGAGGGAGTAACCATAGTCCGAGTCTGGAGCCTGTGTAGTGCCACTTTCTCCCATCGTGGAAGCCCGCGAGGGATCGGGTGGGGGTTAGAAGGTAGGAGCGCTGCAAGGCGCGCTTTTCGTGCTCTTTGTTCTTCCTTCTTCTTTTGGGTTAGATCAAAGCCCTCGTCAGGTGGAACGTCCCGTTGAACGGGCGAGGGGACCGGGCCTTGTGAGGGCTGAGTATTTGCCTGTAGCAGTGCCCTCGCGGCCCCGTCCGCCCGCTCGTTCCCTGGAACGCCTGCGTGGCCCGGTATCCACGCGATGGTGATTGTTTGTCGAGCCGCGGCTTGACGAACCAGTTCGCGGATGCGCGCAACTGTAACGTTGCATGTGCTCGACTGCTGTAGTGCACGCATCGCCTCTTGGGAGTCGGTGTATATTCGAGTTTCTGTAGTTTCTGCTCGTGGCATGTTCGTGGCTGTTTCAACGGCGAACAAAACTGCCAGAAGTTCCGCCATGCAACTGCTCCGTGTACATGCGGTAAGCTTGTGGTTCGTCTCTTTGCGTGTAGGGGAATGCCAGGCAATCGCAGTGCGGCCGTTGTTGTCTCTCGCCGCGTCCGTGTAGAAGACATCCACGTGCGCGGCAAGCTTGCTGACTTCAGTGCGGTGGATGGCTACTTGTGTAGCACGTCGTCCAGGGTGATCAGGTCCTTGATGACTTGGGAGGGGCTTGATGGGAGTGACTGCCTCTGCATCCCAAGGTGGCGTTGGTGTAGGCATGAGTGGGCCGTCAATTAGGTCGGAACGGCCAATCGAGGCAAGAATAATTCGCCCGTGA